CCCGCGGGGTACCCCCGCTCCGCGGAGGGGGCAGAAGCAGGGGATGCCCCGGCGGCGGCCCACCAGGGCTTCTGCTCCCGTCCCGGAGCCCGGCGGGGCGAGACCGGGACGGCCTCACGCCCCCCTCGGCGACCTACTGCTTTAATCCCCCTTCGCAGCTGTTTTCGTTAAAGTTGGGTAAACGAGAACAGTGGAGGAGGGGACACTGTCACAGGTCCCCTCAGCACCACCAGAAAGACTCTTCTGGCCCAGACAGCAACAACACATTCCGTTTGTTGCTGTAGTTCTAAGTCCCTGTCACATGCTTCTTACAGATCAACTTTTGCAGCTTTTTCCTTCTGTCTTATCCCTCCCCTGCAGCCACAGACACCATCTTCTGCTTTTAGAAAACCCCTGCAGAGGTCTGTGACCTACAATGACAGTTGATCCCAGCCCAGAAGCAGCTGAGGGGGGAGGCTGTGCAGCCCCCTTCACAAAACCGCTCCAGGGTAAGGAATTTTTGCCTTCTGTGCAGCTGCATCATCCCTTGTAGCGACACAGGACCGTCGCCTCTCATCTGTTCACTGCGCCTGTCAGAGACAAGTCTGCTCCTGTCTTCTCTGTAACCCCTGTACAGGCCCTGGAAGAGGACTGCCAGACCTCCGTCAGCCCCCTCCACACTGACCAGGCCTGGCTTCCTCAGCTTAGTTCAACTATTATAGTACCCACACTGAGCAGAACGGCTTGTGCAAGTGATTTTAACTCTGTTTGGATTCTTAAGGAATAGAAGCAGATTTAAAAAAAAAAAAAAACAACTCCACCTTAAGAAGGAGACATGCTAGAAGATCTTTTGTGCTGGAAAAAACCCAAACACTTTAAAATTGTGATACTTAGACTGAAAAACATAGCTTTCACATACAAACTATGCCATGCGTAAAGCTAGTCCACTGTTTCCTAGACAATGAGTCTTCAGAGATGACTGTACCATCAACAAAATTAAATCCCACCCTCCATTCCAGGAAGAAAACAAAGTTGTTATTGCAGATAAATTTCATTTGAGAATTTAAAAACGCAAACAACCAAATAATGCCATCATGTTCTATTTGAGCAGAACAAAACAAAACTGCTGACCTTCTTGACAAAAAGGACGCATCTTGCGTAAGTGTTACCAAGTCTGGGGGTTTTTTCCTATGTTATTTTTATTACTAGGTTAAATCTGACAGTTGCATCAGTAATCATTATGGAGTCAGCTTGAGCTGTTCTGAAGTGTTACCAGCTTCAGTAAGACAATTTTTAGGCCATAATTAAAGTTACATTTTAATTTTTACATCCCAACAGCAAAATGAAGCCTTGTTTATATATTATTCCAAGATGAAAAACGAGTTATAATTCATTTTTATAAAATTTGGTGTCTCTTAATAATTTTATTCACACTGTACAATTTGGAACAACATACTCAAATCTGATGCATCAAAATGAGGGACTGCAGAAATTATGTTAGACAACTAATGAATTAGACGATTTATATTGCAGAAAGAAATTGCACATGGGGAAGCAAGCATACAAAGCATTCTTTGTCAGAGTGACTGCCTTAACGCTTAGGAAGCTGTGGTTTAGCATTTTGCTGAATGAGCTAGTAGCAAAGACCCACCCCTACTCCTCATTTCCTGGCCTTCACATGGACAACCCAAGTCCTAGGAAGCGTGCACAATGAAATACCCCTTGCGGATCTTGAGAAGCCTGCTGCCTGTCATCCAGTCTGGGCCTCTGAAGAATCCTTTCTAGTATAAAGTAACACGTACGTGTATATATGTGTCATTACTGCAACCAAAAAGAAGGAAACAACTAAGCAGCAGATTTTTTTTTTTCATTTGGTCAATAACTGTTAACGCTGGAGCTCAGAAGTTTCACAACTGGTTTTCAGTTTTGATTTTTTTTTTTTTAATCCGATTTCTGGAAGCAATTCCTCATGATCTGAGCTTCATGAGCTTTCATTATATATTGTTTGTCATTTTTCTATTATAAATGCAAAAAAGGCAAAAGATTAATATAAGCAACTCTCAATTTGTGGCCTTTTTAACCGTTTCTCTAAAGTTTACATGTTTTTTGACTGAATATCCCCCTGTAACTATGTCTTTTCAGCCTCACAGAAATACTGACAGGGATGTCACTACTGATCACTGTAAAAATACATTTTAATGTGCTTATTAACTGGTAGATACAGATACTAACATCGGTAATATTAGGTGATTAACTGATGTCAAGGATTGCTGGAGCAGATAATTAAATATTGGAGTTGGCTCCCACTCACCTCCAAAAAAACCTACAGACCAAAAACACAGAAAAAGAAGGTTAGACTTATTCCTGCCTATAAGAAGTAAAAACATGTTATTACTGAGGTGGGGATGCTACACAGTAATAAACAAAAACGTCTGTTACATTCAGTTACTTTAAAAAGTTATCCTAAACAACATATAGGTTATTGCAAGGGATCTGCACAGTCTGGAAGATTCTTAACTCACACAGGTTGGATTTGATCACTGTATCTGGCTGCAAGGTTCAAGCCAGGCTTTAGCCATAAACTCCTTGACAGGGTTTTGAAGAAGATAACATTTTTTGCCTCTGAGTACACTTCAAGATGTGATTAGCCACTGTCATTCTCATATGCTGCCGTTCAATGGCACGTATTGCATTCCGACTTTGCCGTAGCGTTAGAGCTGCCTGCAAGCAAGGCTGCGAGGAGAGAATGCATCGCAGACGTTCAAGTAGCCCATGAGTCACAGGGGCATGGGTAACCGTAATGAAATCCAGGTTCAAAGCTGTAAACACCAAACCAACTATAAGATTTGTTTCTGGAGTTCAAAACCAGCAAGTTTTGGAATGCTTTTGAACCTCTGTCTGGGTCAAAGATTGGGAAATAAAAATGCTGCTCGTTTGTCCCAACCAGATTCAGTCAGTTCTCCCTGCTTGCTTTCCTTGTAGCAAACTGAAGTCACAGAGGCCACATGGTTAGAGAAAAAAAGGGTTAGGAGGATGCACTCGTGTGCTGATGACACTAAAACCAAAATTGCCTTTAAAAATCATAAAGGCCTGTCATACAGAGAGCAAAGACAAGAAAATAGCCTGGGAAATCTCAGAAATTCTACAGAGCAGAAAACAACTACCGTCTCCAACCTCTCAGAAATACAAATTCCCAAGCAGCAAGTTGCTCTAAAATTTTATAAAAAAAAAATACCATGACAGAAAAGATGAAAGTAGACAAAACTGCCATGAGGAACTACGAAGATGAGAGCATGTGCAGAGCACAGACTGCTGGAAGATGCATAACATGAAATAGGGAGTGTACTCAAGGGAGCATAAATCCAGAAAGCATCTCAAGTGAATTAAGTAGTTAGCATGGATTTGGAAAAATAACAGTTTAAAGAAGCACCAAGAAGAACTTAACTACATTTTCTATAGGCTGCAATAAAGAAAGAAGGGAAAAGAACCGGTAAGGAAAAAAAAAGGGGGGAGGAAGTTGTGAGCCCTTTAAAAAAAATAGAAAGATATAATTAAATTTTAACCTCCAATTCTGAGCTGCTTCACAGAGTGTCAAATACCCTGGTGTGGAGGATTTCTGCATTGCTCTCTTCAGAACATTAAACATTTCATTAATTTTTACAATAGCAGTTAAAC